CGTATCAGATTCAGGACCACATAGCCAAGCGGCCTGGATCGCATTGGAAAAAATCGGATCTCTGTTGTTAAGACTGAAATGAAAAGATCTGATATAGGTCGCATACGGACAAAAAAAATCATACTTGGGTCACTTCAGGCTACAGTGTGAACGTAGCCTAGGAATCTTCAGTAAAATCAAAGATAAATAACAATTTTAATAAAAACGTATCAAATAATCAATTCATGTATATATTAGTGCTTGTAAATATCAATTTTATTCAGAATTTTTATTGATACAAGTAGGTAAGTAATAATGATGGAAAAGATTTACGCCCCAGAACAGAAAACTATGACTTTTATCTAGAAATTACGGATGTTTAAATATATGCGTCTATTTGTTAGCAAAGGCTGTAGGAAAGTACATTTTGTCTTTATTTAGAAAATATTCATGTTTTGCTCATTCATTTTCCTGTTGGAACAGGGTAGATTGACCCTGAGGTTCTGGTGCCTATCCGCTTTTGGCCACCCACAGCGTACATTGTTTATTGCCTGGACACCCTTTTTAAAAAATTCTGGCTACGCCTCTGGCCTTAGGGTATGGAAGAAAATCGTTACCATGTTTCAAATTTTTCATGAAAAAGCATTTTCAGAAATGCTTTTTCATTTAAAGAATGTGGCTACATTGTTTGACTCATCCAATCATCCTATTTGCATTTTAATTTTCTACTTCAGGACTGCTCATCCTTTGACTTAATTAAAATGAAAAAGAAAAAAACATTTGAGATTTATTTTTCAAAATGTACCCCAGCAAATGCATACCAAAATTCATTTTAAGAATGTGGCTGCATACTTGACTCATAAATAAAATTAGTAATCAATCATCCTATTTGCATTTGCATTTTGTTGATGAGGATGATTGATTACTAATTTCATTTATGAGTCAAACAATGCAGCCACATTCTTAAAATAAAAAAGCATTTCTGGGAATGCGTTTTTATTTAAAATATGGTAACGATTAGCTTCCATATTAGGGTTTGTTAGTTTATCATTTATTATAGTCTATTAAGGGTGCAGCTGTCCCGCAGGACCACCTGCATCCATTAAAACCAGGTTGCAGTCCAGCCTGAACTTTAAAACCTCCATCCTACAGGCTGGACACTGAGAAGGGGGTGAAATGCCAACCGTCATGTGAAGAAACTTGAAACCTGCAGTGCAGCTACCCTAAAGACATACAAGTACTGCCAGTTACAGCTTTGAAATCACACGTTCATGTTGTGTTTAACTAGGTTTACATGTGTAAAAGAAGCGAAATGCTATGGTGGTTAAGAAACGCAAGTAGTGAAGCCGTTGTGACTGTAAATAAATGCCTGTTAGAATCAGTCAGCGGTCTGAGGGAACCGTAAAAGAGAAGATATGAGGCAGTTGTAGCTTTAAACAGAACTACATCCTCCACACTCCCTGCCCTGACGCTGCTTCTGTCGCCTCTTCCTGCTTCGTGAGCAGCTCTGGCTGAAGGACGGGATCCCCCATAGCTCCGGAGCTGCTGGTTTCTCTCCCGCTCCAGGTCGCTTTCTCACCCGGCGATGGACGGCGGCGGCTCGGTGTGCAGATAGACAGCGCGTCGGAACGCGGCAGAGGTGATAATAGACTCTAACAGCCTCCATAACTGGTGGAGGATTAGATTAAACACGATTATTATCGCTGTCATGCAGCCCGCGTCAAGCCGTGCTGCTGTGAAGTGAAAATATGCAGTTTATCTGCTATTTTGTCTGTTTATCCTCTGATATTTTCAGCAGCCATTAAACGCTCCACCAAGCAGAGGCTGTCCTGTCCCACCACACCATCTAGTTAGGGTTTTATCAAACAATGTGTTTGTCTGGGTATTTATTTAAGCACTAATTATTTTAGAGGAATAAATTATTATTCATTGATACTTTTTTTTGTGTGCCTGAACTCTAATGACCTTCATACACACCAGTGGAAGAAAACAGGGAAACTGTTTCTAACTTGAAACCTGCAGGCTACTTAGCAGGGGCGTATTTAGAAGGATCAGGGTCTATGGGCTTGAGGCTGTTTTGGCACTCACTCATAAATGCACATATATATATTTTTTTTTATCCAGAGGAAAAAAATATTAGAAATTGCAGATTAAAAATTAACTGTCTTTATTAGACTATGTGGCATTAGTATAGTTAATTTAAGCTTAATGTACTGTGTAATTACATTTTTCCTCGGCCTATTTTGTGAGATAAAATGTTTTGATTGTCCTGTTTGAATAGGAGTAATGATAGAGAAATCCTGACCTTTCAATATGCTGTACTGTTTAAAGGGACAGAAAGCAGATGCCTCCCTACTCTAGACAAGGGTGAATGGAAGTTCATGAGAGATAATGACTAAGTTCACACTGCAGCCTGAAGTGACCCGAATCCGATTTTTTTGTCCATATGCAACCATGATCTGATCTTTTCATGGCTGTCTGAACAACACAGATCCAATTTTTTTCCAATGCGACCCAGGCCAATTGGCTATGTGGTCCTAAATCCGATACGAATCGGATTTTTTCAAATGCAACCTGTGTCTGAACGGCGAGCTCACATTCGTCCGATCTGAACGCCATTATTACCCGACAAAGGTCACTGCTCTGGGCCTTGCAAGAAAAACAACAACCATAGAAGACGATCATGCGGAGAGCAGTATTTATGTTTAACCTTGTTGAAAACAATGTGTTTTTATGCTTGGGAAAGATTGCTAGATGCACCCTGGCACTACCATCCATGTTTACTTCCGTAAAAACAAAGCTTGCTGGCCTGGGATGTCATTGCATCATCTACTCGGCATGCGGGACACTTGCGTTAGATGACTGCAGTTGGAGATCTCATACAAGCTGCATATATTTGGAAATGTGGAAAAAAAATGCAAAAAAATCGGATTTCACAAAAAGCATCAAGGCCTGCAGTGAGTTCACACAACTTCCTTCATGCTGGGGCTAAAATTTATGTCCTTTATAAACTCAAGTGTTTTTCTTGGGAATAGCCAGATGTTCAAGTGTGAGAGAGATCTTTGTGCAGGGGGTGGATTTAGTGTCATGGGAGAGAGAAGGTGTTGGAGTGTTTTGCTATAAAATCTATGTGTTTAAGATGATTAAGTCAGAGAGAGCTCTATCTCCCTCTCCGTCCAAAGAACGATAAATAACATTGATTATCTTGCGAGAAAATGCTTCCGACTCAGATTCCTAACTTCACAGTACCCTCTGCAATAGTGGTTAGTGTGATTACAAATACAACTCACAAAATAGATGAATTTTTCTATGTGATTAGCTTTAGTAATTTTTTTTTTCTCTACATATTTTTCACCGATAACATCCAAAAGAAAATTATACAATTCTTTAAGAAACTTTTTGTTCATTTTCAATTTAAAACCTAAAAAAGATTTTTTTTTTTAAATGTTTAAAACAACAGATTTCCTATAGATGATATTTAACACAAAAAAAATTCTGTTTTATTCAAAGGTCATGTAATATTTTCAGGTCTGAACGACTTTTATTCAGTTTGTATTAGGATAAAATTGCTCTTTGGGTTCTATAGGTTGCAAACCTTTATGTAGGAAGTTAAAGATTTTTAAAGGCTGCATCAAATACAAATTACCTGAAGGTTTTAAATGGGCTTCATTCTGAAAGGTTTGATATAACCGTGGCATAGTTTATAGAAATGTTTACATCAGTCTGATAAATTTC